TTGTACTTCTGGTTAAATTTATTCCCAAGTATTTAATCTTGTGATTAGCTATTGTGAAAGGTATTGTTTCTCTTAGTTCTGGCTCTGTATTCTTTTTGCCACTGTAGAGAAAGCCAACTGATTTTTGTATGTTGATCTTGTATCCTGCTACTTTGCTGAATTGGTCTACTACGTCCAATATAGTTTTCTTGCTGAGTCTTTAGGGTTTTCTAAGTATACTATCATTACTTTTAGTATTCTATCCTTATCTTTTAATTTGGATAATTTGACTATGTTATGACTTGATGTTTTTCTTTTGGGGTCTAGTCTATTTGGTGTTTGCTATGCTTCTTGAATGTGGATTTTCTCATTCTTCTTCATTTAATCCTCAGAACTACTCCATGAGGTGGGCCATTACTGCTACCATTTGGTTGATAGGAAAATTAAGGCTCAATGAGTTTAAATAATGAGGTCAAACTAGTTGCTTGTGTCTCTGGCTCCAGAGTTCATGTTCTTCCAAACTTGCAGCATTCTATGTGAGCACAGAAGAGGGACTTAGGCCACAAAGTACATCTTCTTAGAACATTTCACTGATTGAGATACCAAATAGCAAAGCCTATAGTGGCAGATGCTGTTATAACAAGCTGTTTGACCCCAGACCTGAGATTCCCATCATAACCCTGAAGTACTAGACTCAGTCTGTGTTCTAGAAGACGGGTCTGCCTCTCCTTCTCTCCTCCTCTCCTGAGGGCCATAGAGGCAGGCTCCAGTGTCAGCTCTAAAGGTAGAGGAAAGCAGACCATGCTCACGCTCACATTTATGGGATCCAGGCAAAGATACAAATGGAGGCATACATACTTTAGGATTAAACACAAAACATTCTAAAACAAGCTAGAAAGGTGCTAAGTATAATCCATTTTTCAGTCGTCACAAATCCACTCTCATGATGGTCTGGAAATCCAGGTTTGAATTTAGAGTTCTAAGATGCTAACTAGAAAAAGCCTAACTCATTGCTAATGGATCACTTATGAATCACAGTGGCCTTTCAGGACAATGAAGAACTGTGTTATAACATTTCCAAGACTGTAAATCATTATAGAAGCAGAGTGCCACAACTTTCTCTCACAGAATGGCTCATGGGTTTAAATGACTGACTTTTCCATTAGCAGCTGAGAATTTAACCACTATGCCATCAGGAGTCCAAATAAAATTGGCTGACCCCTTTTCCCACCATTAGCTTTATTCTACACGTGTACTCATATGTGGATGCCCTAGCCCACACATATGCATTCTAGCTACGGAATCACTCATCAGTACAGTGGCCTGGCTCTGACCCACGACCCCCATCTTCAGGTATTGCATTGCTCCCCCACCCTGACCCGGCTCGCGCCCCCCCCCCACCAGTTCTGAACTTTGGGACTGGCCAAGGGCTGTGCGCAGACGCAGTGAACGGTGGGAGTGGACTTGAATCGGGACACACCCCTGCAGCTCTGAC